TCTGGCCTCTCTCTCTCTGGCCTCTCTCTCTCTGGTCTCTCTCTCTGGCCTCTCTCTCTGGCCTCTGGCCTCTCCTCTCTGGCCTCTCCTCTCTCTCTCTCTCTGGCCTCCCTCTCTCTCTCTGGCCTCTCTCTCTCTGGCCTCTCTCTCTCTGGCCTCTCTCTCTCTGGCCTCTCTCTCTCTGGCCTCTCTCTCTCTGGGCCTCTCTCTGGGCCTCTCTCTCTGGCCTCTCTCTCTCTGGCCTCTCTCTCTGGTCTCTCTCTCTCTGGCCTCTCTCTCTCTGGCCCTCTCTCTCTGGCTCTCTCTCGCCTCTCTCTCTCTGGCCTCTCTCTCTGCCCTCTCTCTCTGGCCTCTCTCTCTCTGGCCTCTCTCTCTCTGGCCTCTCTCTCTCTGGCCTCTCTCTCTCTGGGCCTCTCTCTCTCTGGCCTCTCTCTCTCTCTCTGGGCCTCTCTCTCTGGCCTCTCTCTCTGGCCTCTCTCTCTCTGGGCCTCTCTCTCTGGCCTCTCTCTCTGGGCCTCTCTCTCTCTGGCCCTCTCTCTCTCTCGCCTCTCTCTCTCTCGCCCTCTCTCTCTCTCTCTCTCTCTCTCTCTCTGGCCTCTCTCTCTGGCCCTCTCTCTCTCTGGCCTCTCTCTCTCTGGGCCTCTCTCTCTGGCCCTCTCTCTCTCGCCCTCTCTCTCTCGCCCTCTCTCTCTCGCCCTCTCTCTCTCGCCCTCTCTCTCTCTGGTCTCTCTCTGGCCTCTCTCTCTCTGGGCCTCTCTCTCTGGCCCTCTCTCTCTGGCCCTCTCTCTCTGGCCCTCTCTCTCTCGCCCTCTCTCTCTCTGGCCTCTCTCTCTCTGGCCTCTCTCTCTCTGGGCCTCTCTCTCTGGGCCTCTCTCTCTGGGCCTCTCTCTCTGGGCCTCTCTCTCTGGCCCTCTCTCTCTGGCCTCTCTCTCTCTGGCCTCCCTCTCTGGCCCTCTCTCTCTGGCCCTCTCTCTCTCGCCCTCTCTCTGGCCCTCTCTCTCTGGTCTCTCTCTGGCCTCTCTCTCTGGTCCTGGTACCTGCAGGATGATGTGCCCGGCCTGGTAGAGGGGGTGTTGGTAGAGGTGGGTGTTGGGAGAGAAGATGAGGACCTCTGGGATGTCCGAGTCCAGAGCGAAGACCTTCCCTCTGAGCAGCAGCTGGTCCTGGGTTTGAGCCTCACCGCGGTAAGAGAAACCCTCCCTCTTCAGGAAGTCCACCGTGTCCTCCACAGAGGTCTTCAGAGTGTTCACACGCACATACCTACACACACAAACACACACACACATAGAGAGAGAGACACACACACACACACACATAGAGAGAGAGACACACACACACACATAGAGAGAGAGAGACACACACACACACACACACACACACACACACATAGAGAGAGAGAGACACACACACACACACACACACACACACACACACACACACACACACACACATAGAGAGAGAGACACACACACACACACACAAAGATAACATGTTCTCAAATAAGATGAAGACAGCGTGATGTCTGTGTCAGTCTCTGGTTCCACTCTCTCTCTCTGGTTCCACTCTCTCTCTGGTTCCACTCTCTCTCTCTCTGGTTCCACTCTCTCTCTCTCTGGTTCCACTCTCTCTCTGGTTCCACTCTCTCTCTGGTTCCACTCTCTCTCTGGTTCCACTCTCTCTCTGGTTCCACTCTCTCTCTGGTTCCACTCTCTCTCTGGTTCCACTCACTCACCTGGGCAGGTTCTTGGCCTCCTGGACCTTGGGTGAGATCAGGTCCTGGTTCTCCCGGGCCCCTCTCCTCACTTTGATCCGGGCCAGAGCAGCCTCCAGGCGGACGCGGTGCTTCAGGAGCAGGACTTTCCAGGCTCCTCCGCACTTCAGGCCCCTCCCAATGAGGAGGTCGTACACCAGCACTTTGGCCAGAGGGAGGCGCAGCTTGGAGACTTTGAGGAGCTTCGTGGCCGTGATCACCTCCTCCAGAACCGAGGAGAACTTGTGGGTCTCAAAGACCAGAGCGAAGAGCTGCTTCAGGCTCGGACTCTTACTGTCGTAGACCAGGGTCTTCAGGGCGCCCTGCTTCTTCTCTGCCTTCTCCAGGATCTCTGCGGCTTTCAGGTACAGGGCCATGCTGGGGAGAGGGGGGTCCGCTCTGGAGTCTGGTCTGTGGTCTGGTCTGTGGTCTACTCTGGGGTCCGGTCTGTGGTCTGCTCTCGGGTCCGGTCCTCTGTGGGGTCTGGTCTGGGGTCCTCTCTGGAGTCCGGTCCTCTGTGGGGTCTGGTCTGGGGTCCTCTCTGGAGTCCGGTTCTCTGTGGGGTCCGGTCCTCTGTGGGGTCCGCTCTGGGGTCTATTCTGGGGTCCGGTCTGGGGTCCGGTCCTCTGTGGGGTCCGGTCCTCTGTGGGGTCCGGTCCTCTGTGGGGTCCGGTCCTCTGTGGGGTCCTCTCTGGGGTCCGGTCCTCTGTGGGGTCTGGTCTGTGGTCTGCTCTGGGGTCCGGTCCCCTGTGGGGTCTGGTCTGGGGTCCTCTCTGGAGTCCGGTCCTCTGTGGGGTCCGGTCTGTGGTCTGCTCTGGGGTCCGGTCCTCTGTGGGGTCCGGTCCTCTGTGGGGTCTGGTCTGTGGTCTGCTCTGGGGTCCGGTCCTCTGTGGGGTCCTCTGTGGGGTCCGGTCCTCTGTGGGGTCCGCTCTGGGGTCTTCTCTGGGGTCGGTCCTCTGTGGGTCCGCTCTGGGGTCTTCTCTGGGGTCCACAGACAGATGTTTTGGGGCAGAGACTGACGCAGACTCACGTGGAGCACAACAGGAAGCAGGAACTCAGATCTTCTTCTTCGTGTTGTTATTTTGCTGCTGAGGTTCGTGACCGTGAATGACGCAGTGCTGCCTCCAGCGGGGGAGTACTGGAACTACAGCAAAGCAGCACTGATGGAAACAAACTAATGTAACGGCTGTAAGTGTAAAGTACTGCAGTAATGTAACGGCTGTAAGTGTAAAGTACTGCAGTAATGTAACGGCTGTAAGTGTAAAGTACTGCAGTAATGTAACGGCTGTAAGTGTAAAGTACTGCAGTAATGTAACGGCTGTAAGTGTAAAGTACTGCTTTACTGTACTGCAGTAATGTAACGGCTGTAAGTGTAAAGTACTGCTTTACTGTACTGCAGTAATGTAACGGCTGTAAGTGTAAAGTACTGCTTTACTGTACTGCAGTAATGTAACGGCTGTAAGTGTAAAGTACTGCAGTAATGTAACGGCTGTAAGTGTAAAGTACTGCAGTAATGTAACGGCTGTAAGTGTAAAGTACTGCAGTAATGTAACGGCTGTAAGTGTAAAGTACTGCAGTAATGTAACGGCTGTAAGTGTAAAGTACTGCTTTACTGCAGTAACGTCAGACTTTCTTATTTGACTCGGTTCAAAGGTCATTATGGTTACATTCTGTTTCAACTGAAATTAAATTGTTTTGTTTTTATCCTCCAAGAGATCAGCAGGAGACACATCAGGAGACACATCAGACACATCAGGCACACCAGGCACATCAGACACATCAGGCACATCAGGCACATCAGACACATCAGAGACACATCAGACACATCAGACACATCAGACACATCAGGCACATCAGACACATCAGACACATCAGACACATCAGGCACACCAGGCACATCAGACACATCAGACACATCAGGCACATCAGAGACACATCAGGCACATCAGGCACATCAGACACATCAGACACATCATCAGACACATCAGACACATCAGGAGACACATCAGACACATCAGACACATCAGGCACATCAGACACATCAGACACATCAGACACATCAGACACAGACACATCAGACACATCAGACACATCAGACACATCAGGCACATCAGGCACATCAGAGACACATCAGGCACATCAGACACATCAGACACATCAGGCACTTCAGACACATCAGGAGACACATCAGACACATCAGGCACAGACACATCAGACACATCAGGAGACACATCAGACACATCAGACACAGCAGGAGACACATCAGACACAGCAGGAGACACATCAGGCACATCAGACACAGCAGACACAGCAGACACAGCAGACACATCAGGCACATCAGACACATCAGGAGAAACATCAGACACAGCAGACACATCAGGAGACACATCAGACACAGCAGACACATCAGACACATCAAGCACAGACACATCAGACACATCAGGAGACACATCAGACCCAGACACATCAGACACATCAGGAGACACATCAGACACAACAGGAGACACATCAGCAGACACATCAAACACAGCAGACACATCAAACACAGCAGACACATCAGACACATCAGGAGACACATCAGACACAGCAGACACAGCAGACACAGCAGACACATCAGACACAGCAGACACATCAGAGACACATCAGACACAGCAGACACATCAGAGACACATCAGACACAACAGGAGACACATCAGCAGACACATCAAACACATCAGACACATCAGGAGACACATCAGACACAGCAGACACATCAGGAGACACATCAGAGACACATCAGACACAGCAGACACAGCAGACACATCAGACACAGCAGACACAGCAGACACATCAGACACATCAGGAGACACATCAGACACATCAGACACAGCAGACACAGCAGACACACCAGGCACATCAGACACATCAGGCACATCAGACACAGCAGGCACATCAGGCACATCAGGCACATCAGACACATCAGAGACACATCAGACACATCAGGCACATCAGGCACATCAGACACATCAGACACATCAGGCACATCAGGCACATCAGGCACATCAGACACATCAGAGACACATCAGACACATCAGGAGACACATCAGACACATCAGACACATCAGGCACATCAGACACATCAGACACATCAGACACATCAGACACATCAGGCACATCAGAGACACATCAGGCACATCAGGCACATCAGACACATCAGAGACACATCAGACACATCAGACACATCAGGAGACACATCAGACACATCAGACACATCAGGCACATCAGACACATCAGACACATCAGACACATCAGACACATCAGACACATCAGGCACATCAGGCACATCAGAGACACATCAGACACATCAGACACATCAGACACATCAGACACATCAGACACATCAGACACAGACACATCAGACACATCAGGAGACACATCAGACACATCAGACACATCAGGAGACACATCAGACACATCAGACACATCAGGCACATCAGGCACATCAGAGACACATCAGGCACATCAGGCACATCAGGCACATCAGGCACATCAGACACATCAGAGACACATCAGACACATCAGACACATCAGGCACATCAGGCACATCAGACACATCAGAGACACATCAGACACATCAGACACATCAGGCACATCAGGCACATCAGAGACACATCAGGCACATCAGGCACATCAGACACATCAGAGACACATCAGACACATCAGACACATCAGGAGACACATCAGACACATCAGACACATCAGGCACATCAGACACATCAGACACATCAGACACATCAGACACATCAGACACATCAGGCACATCAGGCACATCAGAGACACATCAGGCACATCAGACACATCAGACACATCAGGCACTTCAGACACATCAGGAGACACATCAGACACATCAGGCACAGACACATCAGACACATCAGGAGACACATCAGACACATCAGACACAGCAGGAGACACATCAGACACAGCAGGAGACACATCAGGCACATCAGACACAGCAGACACAGCAGACACAGCAGACACATCAGGCACATCAGACACATCAGGAGAAACATCAGACACAGCAGACACATCAGGAGACACATCAGACACAGCAGACACATCAGACACACTCAAGCACAGACACATCAGACACATCAGGAGACACATCAGACCCAGACACATCAGACACATCAGGAGACACATCAGACACAACAGGAGACACATCAGCAGACACATCAAACACAGCAGACACATCAAACACAGCAGACACATCAGACACATCAGGAGACACATCAGACACAGCAGACACAGCAGACACAGCAGACACATCAGACACAGCAGACACATCAGAGACACATCAGACACAGCAGACACATCAGAGACACATCAGACACAACAGGAGACACATCAGCAGACACATCAAACACATCAGACACATCAGGAGACACATCAGACACAGCAGACACATCAGGAGACACATCAGAGACACATCAGACACAGCAGACACAGCAGACACATCAGACACAGCAGACACAGCAGACACATCAGACACATCAGGAGACACATCAGACACATCAGACACAGCAGACACAGCAGACACATCAGGCACATCAGACACATCAGGCACATCAGACACAGCAGGCACATCAGGCACATCAGGCACATCAGACACATCAGAGACACATCAGACACATCAGGCACATCAGGCACATCAGACACATCAGACACATCAGGCACATCAGGCACATCAGGCACATCAGACACATCAGAGACACATCAGACACATCAGGAGACACATCAGACACATCAGACACATCAGGCACATCAGACACATCAGACACATCAGGCACATCAGGCACATCAGAGACACATCAGGCACATCAGGCACATCAGACACATCAGAGACACATCAGACACATCAGACACATCAGGAGACACATCAGACACATCAGACACATCAGGCACATCAGACACATCAGACACATCAGACACATCAGACACATCAGACACATCAGGCACATCAGGCACATCAGAGACACATCAGGCACATCAGACACATCAGACACATCAGACACATCAGACACATCAGGCACAGACACATCAGACACATCAGGAGACACATCAGACACATCAGACACAGCAGGAGACACATCAGACACAGCAGGAGACACATCAGGCACATCAGACACAGCAGACACAGCAGACACAGCAGACACATCAGGCACATCAGACACATCAGGAGAAACATCAGACACAGCAGACACATCAGGAGACACATCAGACACAGCAGACACATCAGACACATCAAGCACAGACACATCAGACACATCAGGGAGACACATCAGACCCAGACACATCAGACACATCAGGAGACACATCAGACACATCAGGAGACACATCAGGAGACACATCAGACACATCAGACACAGCAGACACATCAGACACATCAGGAGACACATCAGACACAGCAGACACATCAGACACAGCAGACACATCAGACACAGCAGACACATCAGAGACACATCAGACACAGCAGGCACATCAGAGACACATCAGACACAGCAGACACATCAGAGACACATCAGACACAACAGGAGACACATCAGCAGACACATCAGACACATCAGACACATCAGGAGACACATCAGACACAGCAGACACATCAGGAGACACATCAGACACAGCAGACACATCAGGAGACACATCAGAGACACATCAGACACAGCAGACACAGCAGACACATCAGACACAGCAGACACAGCAGACACAGCAGACACATCAGACACATCAGGAGACACATCAGACACATCAGACACAGCAGACACAGCAGACACATCAGGCACATCAGACACATCAGGCACATCAGACACAGCAGGAGACACATCAGACACATCAGGAGACACATCAGACACAGCAGACACATCAGGAGACACATCAGGCACATCAGACACCACAGAAGACACATCAGGCACATCAGACACATCAGACACATCAGGAGACACATCAGGCACAGCAGACACATCAGGAGAGACATCAGAC